CTGGTAACCAACAAAGATTGTTTACATTTTGTGTGTGAACTTTTTCATGGGTTTTTACAATAGAGGTCTCATGCAATATTTGTCCTTTTATGATTGACTTATTTCACTCAGCATAATGTCCTCCAGTTTCATCACATACATTTTTTAAAGCCACCCTGAGCAGATATTGTAGATAGCTAATATTTTGTATTTTAATCATAAGATATAATCATAAAATACAGCTGCTTCGCTCACCTCCTTAATGTCTTTTAAATAAGTTAATTACCTGAATAATCTTGAATTGGGCGGAGAACACAAAGTGGAAGCATTGATGATGAACTGTGTTTTTGAATTCAGGATTCTTTGTTTCACATACTCAGATTGCACCCCTATGTATTCATCTGTATCTCCTTTTCTTTAATTGTGGTTTATGCTTATACCTGCTTGGTTGATACCATCACTGTTGGCTGCCCTGGGAAATAGCTTCTTCATTAAGGATTAGCAGTTATTAAATATATATTAGAAATATGTAACAAGAGTTAAAAGTGAGCGTTTTGGAGAGAAGGTTAGTAGATATCTAGAATAAATGCTTGGACTAAAATTCATTCCCAGGCAATGAATTCTTTCTAGAGAAACGCTCTGGGTCTGGATAGGTGTTTGGGTTATACGGCGGATCCATCTATCTAAGCTCACTGAATGATACACTTAAGATATGTACATTCCACTTATCTTCCGAAACCTTTTTTGAGAAGGCAGATTGAAATTACATTGATGTTGTTACTGTTTTTGTTACAGTCGCTACAGTCAGTGGCGATTTTTCTAAAGCTTTTTAACCTAGAAGCACTACATAGCTTCTTCATTTGTAAATTGCATTTTCACAGTAAACTTTCTGATTGAAGTTGACTTTTTAAAATGAACATATTCCTTTGTAGATATTATGGGAAAGAAATTTGTTTCTTAAATTATAATGGAACGTGTAACTATTATAATTTTTGCATTTAAGCCGTACTTTTTCTCTGCGTTTGAGCTGTTAGCAAATAATTGATTTGAAGTAATAATTCTATATGAGATGAAAATTACTGTGTAGTAGATACTGCATCAAAGGTTTTCTGGCTTTATCATTTTTCCATTTCTTCTAACTTACATGTCACATAAACCATAATATGATGTATCGCTAGACTTTTAAAATCATTATTATTTACTTAGTTGTATGTATGTGGACGTGCATGCTTCTGGTTTTAGAGAACAAAACAGGTGGTTGAAACCGAAAGAGAGGGCTGGGGCTCCAGTGACCTCTAAGATTTAGTTTAATGTTTGATGTGGTTAAGGGTGAGAATGAACTTTCTGAATATAAAGCCAGTCTTTCTGTAATACTTTTCATTCAGATGTGTCTCATGTACAGTTGCTCTGACGTTCAAGCCTGTACCCTGGCTGTTTCCAGAGCCTTCTCCACCGTGGTTCATTGCAGACCCAGGAGACCCTGGTTTCGTCTTGCTGTGTTTAGGCCCTGCCTGTACTGTGGCGTTGGGTCTGTAGCAAGTCACAGACTCTCTGGAAGTTAGTTTTCTGTAAAATGAAGAGGGCATTTGGATTCTTCTAGTTCCTTGCAATGTGCTAAAGTTCTGTGATTTTATGATCTCACAAAAAAGTAGCATTCCTATTCCACATTTAAACTTCATTGACAAAAATCAAAGAATTGTAGAAGACAGCAGAAGAAATATTCTAAATTTATTCAACATGCTTTGATCAGACGATCTATCCTTAATCAACAAAGATTGTGTCCAATACTGTTAGGCTGTGTGGGAATACCAAAGATATAAATAATATACGTTTCTTCCCTTAAGGAGCTTGGTCCAGCTGAGGAACAAAGCTAATGTATATTTTTTAAAAATTATTTTGGCTAGGATAGAGTCAAAGAACCCCCCACAAAAGACAAAAACACAAAAAAAAACAAACCCAGTGCCGCCGAGTCTATTCTGACTCATAGTGACCCTACAGGACAGAGAAGAACTGCCCCATAGGGTTTCCAAGGCTGTAATCTTTACAGAAGCAGACTGCCACATCTTTCTCCCTCGGAGCTGCTGTTGGGTTCGAACTGCTGACCTTTTGGCCAGCAGCCGAGTGCTTTAACCATTGCACCACCAGGGCTCCTCAGTCAGATAGAATGTGGGAAGTGCCACAGACGGAATGACCCAACTTCTTTAACAAATGGTATTGAAAATAAAAAAGAGGGGGCTCTTTTATGTATTAGAACTTAAGAGACAGCCAGAAGCAACTGTGGGGTAAGGATCTGGGGAGCCTTGTTTGGAACTTGATCTAAATAAACTGATCATAAAGAGACATTTGGGAAAAATTGAATCTGGATTGGATTTTAGATAGCATTAAGCATATTGTTACTTTTGTTAGGTGTGATAATGATATTATGGTTAGATTTTAAAAGAAGGGATAAACTCCTTATCTGTTAGAGACACATACTTAAGTATTTACAGGAGCAATAGTGGGCTTGTCTTAAAAGACTCCAGAAAAAAAACGGGGGGTAAATGAATCAAGAACACCATGTTGTTAATTGTTAAAGCTAAGTGGTGTGTACGTGGGAGTTTATTGTACTGTTCGTTTGCTCCCTTAAACGTATGTCCGAAACATTCTGTGGTCAAGAGGTTTCATTTTTTTCCGTGGTGGTGAAGGTACTGACCTAATTTGTCTGTGTGATATAAATAGTGCAGCCACGGTCCACTGAAGCTCAGTGTGGCATGGCCTAATAGAATGTTACCACTTTTAGCAGGAACCTCGAAGGGACCACCAAGTCAGACGCCTCCCTCATTACACAGATTGAGAAACTGAGGCCCCCAAAAGGGAGGTGACTTGCTGGTTAGTAGCAGAGCCACTCTTAAACTCCGGTCTCCTGATTTCCATATTCCTAGTTTGGGGCCCTGGTGGTGCAGTGGTTAAGCGTTTGCCTGCTAACCAGAAGGTTGGCAGTTCAAATCCACCAGTCGATCCTTGGAGACCCTATGGGGCAGTTCTGCTCGGTCCTGTAGGGTCACTATGAGTCAGAATCAGTTCAGCTCCACAGCAGCGCACTTAGTTTCTGTTACTTTTCTCCTTGATGAACGTTTTCCTTTCCCCCTTTGTTACGATCCTCGAAAGAGTTTGTGAATTTGAAATAACACTGATGGGTGCATCCATGGTTACCTTGTTGTGTTCGTTTTCCTCAGAATCCGGCCAGCCTATCTGTGGGAATGGAATGGTAGAGCAAGGCGAAGAGTGTGATTGTGGCTACAGTGACCAGTGTAAAGATGATTGTTGCCATGACGCCAACCAGGCAGAGGGGAGGAAGTGCAGGCTGAGACCCGGCAAACAGTGCAGGTACCTTGCTGATTCCGCTGGCGCTGGTCTTCCTGCAGAGTCCCCTGGGAGCAGTCCTGGCGGGCGTGACTCAGAGAGTTTTGAAACTCTGTCTTCATCTGTGGCTTTGTTTATTTTTCTAAAGTGGGATTGGTTAGTGCCCTGTTGTTGGCAGGTTGAACTGTTTGTGCTTGTAACTTGTGTGGTGGATGTTGAAAAAAGGGTGTCAAAGCAGACTCAGAAGAGAGACATTGAGTTCCTAACTTTAAAAATTTATCTATTTTCTGTAGTTTTAGAATCTTAACTTTAAATATTTAGGTAATATGAAGTAAGTACACTTTTGTAAATTGGTGTCATATAATTATTTTACTTATCAGGCTCCTTTGTTATTTATAGATATAACAGGATATTATTTGTATCATATTTTTAATGGCTGGTACGTGTGTCCTGGTTTGAGGTTAGCATGTAAATAGGAGAAAAACTGATAAATTGACTAATGTATGATGTAACTGAAAAGCCTTGATAATTTGGCTAATATTAAATCATTTTCCACTGTAACCTTTTGCTAAAGACAAATAGAGCAAGAATGCTGACTATAGTCTGCTTTGATTGTGAAAGCAAGAACCTTAATCTCTATTGTAGCGCTTTTTAGAATGTTTAAATTTAGTAGCCCCTTATTCCAATATTTGAAGTAGTAACCAGCAGTATACTTATCATTTAAAAGATGAGATTTATGATTTCAATATTAGGGTCATATCTGCGTACACAGGAGACATCCTGGTGGTTGACTTTGTTTAATTGCCTGACGTTTCTTCTAGTCCAAGTCAAGGTCCCTGTTGTACAGCTCAGTGTGTCTTCAAGTCGAAGTCCGAGAAGTGTCGGGATGATTCAGACTGTGCAAAAGAAGGAAGGTGCAGCGGCTTGACAGCCCTCTGCCCAGCATCTGAGCCTAAACCAAACTTGACAGACTGTAACAGGCAGACGCAAGTGTGCATTAGTGGGGTAAGCATTTCATTTTGTATGTTTTTTATTTAAATTTACAAACGCTGCTTTTTCAGAATACCCCTCTGTGGACACTTAAAGCTGCATAAAGTCATTATCTTGGTCTCTGTTTCCACGCCTTCCGCCCTTGTACTCCTCACAAAGCCGTGAATGCCTTACGTGGCATCAATGCCAGGTGGCATTTGATTAGCTACTGATGCAGCGTCTTTCATCTTTCCAGCTACACCTAGTGGGTTCGCTCTAGAGAGATGCAGTTGTGCACCTAGGCACCTGACTCTCTCTAGCCTACTGTTAAGTTTTGCTTAATATTTTAGTAGCCGAAATAAAAGAACTCTTCTGGTCATTGTCTCTGAATGTGAAGCCTTTTAAGCTTTCTTCATTCAATTTCACTTTCCTCTACGTGGGGAAAGGTTTATTTTTCTCTTCTTAGAAAGGAGCCATAATAACCAAGATAAAATTGATGTTCATCGGGTCTTCCTCTGTTTTTATCTAGTTTTTTTTTTAAGTTGCCATTTCTTTCAGAGATTTACTATCTTACTTGCACTTCCTCTTCCTCACATGTGTTTATTTGATCCGTTTCTGATGAGAATGTATGCTTTGCAGGAGGACTTCCATGTAAATAAAACTTGTATTTCTGTGTAATTATTTTGGCACAGAAGCTTGGACCAGCCAGTCTGTCGCTCTGAGTAGTAGGTCTGACTGTGGCGGAATGAAACAGTTTCTCTTTTATCTCTCTTCCAGCAATGCACAGGTTCTATCTGTGAGAAGTACAGCTTGGAGGAGTGTACCTGTGCCAGTACCGATGGCAAAGATGATAAGGAATTATGCCATGTTTGCTGTATGAAGAGAAGTAAGGCTTTTAAAATATAAGAGTATAAAATCTGCTTCAAAAACTGCGTTTTCTCCTCAGTGTTAAGAGTCAAACTTGGCCGTACAGTCTGGACAGATAGCCTTCGGCGAAGTCCGCCCTCGCGAGAAGTTTCAAAATGTAGCCTAGAGCATCATGTCTCTAGCTTATGGCCCTTACAATGTTTTTAAAATGACGCTCTTGACCCAAAATTGCTAGCTTTGCAGCAATAATTTACATTCACACCGTTAGAAGGTTTTAAAGCTGTTACAGGCACCAAGTCAAGAGTAGGAGGTTGTTTATACTGTAATATTTAAGATGAATTACTAAGGATGTTATCCATCCTAACTAATGAAGGTTTAAAGAACATGTCATGATAATGATTTCAGGCAGTTTCTTTTTCCCTCCCTCCCTCCCCAAATGGCCTGTTAGTAAATCCGATATTCATCTTACGTTTGGCACTTCTTTTCCAGTGGATCCGTCAAGTTGTGCCAGTACAGGATCCGTGCAGTGGAATAAGTACTTCCGTGGTCAGACCATCACCCTGCAACCTGGATCTCCTTGCAATGATTTTAGAGGCTATTGTGATGTTTTCATGCGGTGCAGATTAGTAGATGCTGACGGTCCGCTAGCTAGGCTTAAAAAAGCCATTTTTAGCCCAGAGCTCTATGAAAACATTGCCGAGTGGATTGTGGTAAGTATAGTTATTATGGATACAGAAACCTTAACTTCAATGGTTTGACCGTGATATTTCTTGGTCTGAGGTCACCAGTGTTATGAGGAAGCCCCTTCCCCCTTTTTTACTCTGGAATCACCCTGGACGTTGTTTTCTTCTGAGGTGATCAGAGTCTCCACAGGTGTATCTTTCATAGGTTGGTTACTTAGGTGATGGGAGTCATAATCTTTTATTCTGCTCCCTAGTCCGTCTTCTGCGTAGGTTACCTCCTCCTTTGCTTGGTCCATATAATTCAGGCGTTTTCATGGGACTCTGCTCTCGAGTTGTGCTAAGCCCTGTGTGCTCTTTATACTTCTCCATCGCCTCAATATGGTGGATAGCCAGCTGTGAGTTCTGCTTGGCTGAGCAAGAGAAATAAAGGAGAAATTGGTGATTTTCTGCAGGTTTTCTCTGATCTCTCAGTATAAATTCTGGGTCTTCATTGTGTCCATGATAGGCCCCGTTGAACAGGGTAAGATCAGATACAGAGCCTTTTGCATATCTGCTAATGATTGTGGATGTTCATCCAACATAAATCCACTGAACTGTATTATTTTTAAGCCCATATGTCTCCATTTAAGTTGTACAAAGGTTGAATTACCTGACTTTTTCTTAAAGGATTGCTGAGAACAACTATCTCAAGTTGCTTAAATATTCATGCTTTCTAAGTGATTACGTTAAAACATCAGTAGGAAACTTGCAAGTGATGTATTTGAGGATGTGCTATACCTGAACTGAATATAGTTTGCCTGGGAAATTGACTTAAAACTCAGACTCCCTCCCCAAATTATTTCTTAAATTTTTTTTTGTGTTCAGGATCGAGGATGCCATAAAGTATTTACAATACTGTTCGTGCGTGTTGTCAGCCTTGCGATAGCATTCCGGTCATCCCCAAAGTTAAAACGGTATTTGTTATCCACAGAAGATGATACTTTGTGTGTTACAACCTGTGATTTTTAGATATGTAATGGGAAGATCATTGAAGCTGGATCCAGGAGACTTGGGTTTCAGACCAAATAACTGGGCAATTGACTTCACCTGCGTCCCCTAAGAGCATGACATGTCATTTTTGTGCTCCTGAGCTTGGCGCACAGTAAGTGTTCAGTAAATGCCTGTTAAGCCGAAGGTCCCTTCTGGCACCATGGCGGAGTGAAGAATACAGGCTTGGGAATCACACAGGAATTCAAGTCCTCCTTCTGGCTTTGGCCACCTCTGTGACTTTGAGCAACTTACTTTCTTGACCTCTGTACTTTCGTTTTCAACTCAGATCCAGTTTTCTGTTTTTTTTTCCGACTGTCTCTCATGAGTTGCAATCCGGTGTACTTGTCTTCTCCAGAAGACAGTATATGCGGAAAAAGAAATCCAATGATGATAGCATTAGCGTATGTGTGTGCCAGGTACGTTAGATTTCCCAGATAGTAAATCATGTCATTTGAAAATAGTTTTTTACTTTTCTCGATAGTCTATAATTTTGACCCATTAAATTATTTAGAATTTCAAAAGCTCATTTATTCCTATTTTTAAATATTTAATGGAAATGATCTTTCTTTTTCAAAGTCTGTTAATGCAGTGAATTATATGAGGTAATTTCCTTTTGACTCAATCTTGCCTCGCAATAAATCCTGTTTGTGGTGTATTATTCTTTTAAGGGTTCTTGAGTGGTGCAGATGGTTAAGCGCTCAACTGCTAACTGAAAGGTTAGTGGTTCAGACTCACCCAGAGGCACCTTGAAAGAAAGACCTAGTAATCCGCTTCTTTAAGGTCACAGCCTTGAAAACCCGATGGAATGCAACACATAGGGTCACTGTGAGTCTGGATCCACTTGACAGCAAGTATTTTTTTTTTTTGAAGTTTTGCTAAATTCTGTTTCCTGTATTTTACATAGACTTTTTTTTTTAACGTATGTTCATGTTTTATATTTGAGGATTTAATGGAATGCCTCTCACAATGAATTAGCAACATCTCATCTTTTCTAGTGTTCTGGAATTGATTGATCAGTCACTTTTATGTTGATATGGGTTTGCCTTGAGTGTGAAATACCACGTACTTCCATTTTATATTGTTTGTTGACATTCACATGCATTTGTGGTCCGTAATGTCTGAAAAGTACCGCTAGGCTGTGGCTGAAAAGTACCACTAGGCTGTGGCTGCAGTCGTGGGCGTTACCCAGGTCAGTCAGTAAGTAATAGACATCCACTTCCTTATAAACGATTTGTCTCATTCACGTTATGCAGAGTCCACTTGCATAGCAGAGCTTAGCTTGTGGTTTGACCTTCCATCACGTCAGGAAAATGTCTGTCCTTCTAGTCAGTAATACAGGTTCTTAGGGTGCTGTGAAGTCAGGAAGCTTTGACAGGAGTGAGGGGTTGGTTTCTCTGACTTCCTAGTGGCACCTGGTGGCTTTTGTCTCCTCTCTGCAGTACCTGGCTGCATCTTTCTCCCTTGTGCAGGGTAGAGCAGGAGAACCTCAGCACCATGCTACTGGTACCACGGAAATAAGGCTGCTCACGTAGACTCTTACTTTCTTTTCTGTGGGAAAACTGTTACTTAAACAACTATGTGTCTGGCCAGAGAAAGTGATAAAAATGTCCTTTGGATTTATCAAAGAGTCATTGAGTCCTTGAAAAGTTTGAGAGCATTCATCAGTAAACATGTTGACCTTGTTTCGTTATCTTTTTCTTTAAATAGGGGCTAAGGGTATTAGTAATTCTTTTTCATTTTCTTTTACTGTTGTTGATGTGTTCAGATTTTCTAAATCTTTTGTGTTAGGGAGGAGCCCTGGTGGTGCAGTGGTTAAGTGCTTGGCTGCTAACCAAAAGGTCGGCAGTTCAAACCCACCAGCCACTCTTTGGGAGAAAGATGTGGCAGTCTGCTTCCATAAAGATTTACAGCCTTGAAAACCCTATAGGGCAGTTCTACTCTGTCCGATAGGGTCACTATGAGTCGAAATCTACTCAAAGGCAGCAGGATTTGTTTTTGTATTAGGGTTGACATTGTAGAAAACCATATTTTACCTTGATTTTTTTTGTCAAACTTATTGTATTTCTCCTTCCCTTTTTAAGTAATTGCCTGTTATTTTGTGCCTTTTTTTCTTTTTATTCAGATTTATCAGGAATTTGTCTTTTTTATTATTATTTTGACAACCAACTCATTCTCATTTTCAAATAGATTTTTGTTTTCCTATTTTGCTCTGATTTTATGAGCCTAAGTAGTAGGTATCTAGTATTCTTTATAGATGAAAGATTTAGAGTAGTGTTTGCCAAGTACTTCATGGAACACTAGTTCCATGAGGTGCTTTATGGGTTTGCTGGTCAAAAGAATCTGGAAAACACTAAATACTCTATGTCCTTCTTGGAGATTTGTGAGAAATTCTACAATAAGTAAATCTGTTTGACTTCATTTTCCAAGCCTACCTGACCTGGAAACCTTTATTCATGTAAGGCTTATTAAATCCTAACTATCCTTACAAGTCATTTGGGGAACATCAGTTGATAGCAGTGTTCTTCAGTCTTGATTGTACCCGAGAATCACTGTAGGGCTCAGACCAATTAATCAGAATCTCTTAAATGTGGATCTTTTACAAGTCCCCCAGGCGATTCTGATGAGGAGCCAGGGTTGAAAACCATTCGTCTAGAGCTGGGGGCAGCAAGCTCTGGCCTTGGGCTGAATCCAGCCCGCTGCCTATCTGTGTCTCACAAGCTAAGAATGGTTTTTACATTTTAAATGGTGGAAAAAAAAATATTTCCTAACACCTGAATATGCTATGAAATTCCAACTCCAGTGCCCCCCTCCCCCCCATAGCGTTTTCTTGGCACATAACCACACCCATCCGTTTCCATGCTGTCTGTGGCTGCCTTTGCATTATTAGAGCAGACAGTTGAATAGCTGTGACGGAGACTGTATGGCCCACAGAGCTTAAAATGGCTTTACTATCTGGCCTTTCACAGGAAGTGTTTGCCAACCTGTGATCTAGAGCAGTGGATCACGAAGCATAGTCCCCTAACCAGCAGCGGGGAACTGACCCACTGCATTGGTAGATGGTGGTGCATACTAAAGTTTGGGAACCATTTTTTTTTCCAGTCGCTGCAATATAATGACTCCTTTGATAAATACGTAGCAGAAATTCCTTACTCTGTCATCCTGACATGTTGAAAACGGAAAGTGGTGTGGGCCTCCAGAGTCCTTTGTTGCCTGTGGAGTGGGCCACGTAGCTGTCATTCAGGAGACCAGCTACAAAGAAAGGCTCAGTGTTGTCCCGAGGCTCAGCAGAGAAGAAGACCTCGGCATACTTCTGTTAGGTGAATGAAGCAGATATGTTAGATGTTATTATTTATATGGAAAGCAGTAAAAATCATGCATATTGTCGTAACTTTGAAGCTGTGATGTTTTTACATTCCCCCCAGCAATCTTTTATCCTGCTTGCCCAGACTTAGCTTAGAAAACTCAAACTTCAGTAGCCAGCTTCCTATTAGGTGGTTGATGTGAGAGGTTGGCACACAGGGTCTTGAAGGATAGGAGAAGAACATTTAGTCCAAGTGCAGACTATAGTGTCTTTTGCAGGTTAGAGTGAAAGCTTTCTGCTCCTGCAGCGATGGTATGACCTGTCTCCCGACAAGGACTGGGGAGCCCCACTGGTCTTGTGAGCCACAGGCATCCCGAGTGCATTTGCCGCGAGGGAGGGTTGTTAAACACTGAGAGGATTGTATGGCGGACTTTTCCTGACGATCTTCAAAAACAGTAAAGATAACTTTATGCGTGAAGAGACTTGGGTGGATGTACACCCCACCCCCAGCCCCAGTCTCCTGCCCTGTACACGCACATTTTTTTTTCTTTCTTTTTTTTTGGGGGGGGGCAGGGGTGATAACTGCTTTCCTATTTTATTATCCTATAGGTCCTTTTTGTTTATTTAGATTACTAAATAAAAACTATTATAATTAGTACATAATAGATTAGTAAAATTTGACCTTTTACTTTATTTTTATTCCTTTTTTCTACATTTTGTGCTTTTGGCCTTATAAATGACTATGTTGAATGACATATGTCTGTTTCTGATGTAGACTTACTTTCTGAAAGCTGACTTAATGCTTGTGAACTTCAAGGTTGTTGTTTTTTAACTTTGGGTGTCTTCTCTTTGACTCTTGTTTCCCTTAACTCCATTGTGTGCATGACATGTAAGATCCTGGCACACAGTCTGCACTCATTAAATGACTCTCAGGGGAATGATAGCTCTCCTTTCTTTCAGACTCTGAAAGGTAGGCGAATTGTGATCTTTTCTTTTAAGATGAATCATGTATTTCTCATTTACTAGCCTGCTTGGTATTCTGTACCCTGATTTTATAGTATATATAAAAGGGAGAACCATGTGACTGAGCATTTAACTCACTCTCAAGTAATTCTCCTTGAAAGGGACCAGTGGAGAAAACCTCTACCAGAAGTGGCCACGCTCGTCAACACTCCGATCCGTCGTTGTTTGTTGAGTTTTTGTTGTATCTCCTGTCCACTGTCACGTTCTGTTTCCCAGACACTAAAGTCTGAAAAGCTACTATTATTTTCACTAAAGCATCTCAAGCTTTGGGCTTCTGAGATAGGTAGATACCTGGAAAATTGGAAGAGTGGGCAGAAATGCTGGGCTAGAAGGGACTGGCAGTTGTCCAGGGCCCAGGTGCCATAGTTTAGTAGAAGTCTGTGGGAGGAGGTCCACTTGACCTTTGTTGTCTGCAGAGTTATAACTGCTCTTAAAACTGGACTTTCTAATCTGCTTCTTTTACCGCCATACTATGTCCATTTCTCTGAAGACAACACAGTCACTGAAAAGCTAGTGTTACAGGAACGAGAAGCACAGTTTTTATAGTTGCCGTCTCTGTTGTAGGAAGCTTGTCACACTGCATGTGTAGGCAGTCTAGACGTCGTAGATGGGCTCTCAGAGGTGTGTTCCAGGTCAGTATTCAGAACAGTGATTCACCTGTAATAACCAGTTCAACAGGTATTTTTTGTGGGCTAGATAATGACATTGCAGGAAATAAGTTCAAGGAGCTCACAGCCCGATTGGAGATAGAGAAGACATGAGGAACATAGAAACATTTCAGTTCTGTGTGGTGTTTCCACAGAAAACAGGAGAGCCTGTTTGGGTGAGGCCAGAGCTAGGTTCTGAAGGGCTGGTAGTAGTAGAGGGTACAGATGTTTTATGCAGAGGAAGCATGCATGAAAGTCGCATAAACCCGTTGGCTTCCAGTTTGTTCCAACTCATAGCGACCCTGTAGGACAGAGTAGAACTGCCCCGGAGGGTTTCCAAGGCTATAAATCTTAGGGAAGCAGGCTGCCACATCCTCCTCCCATGAAGCAGCTCATGAGATTGAACCGCTGACCTTTCTGTTAGCAGCCAAGCACTTAACCACGAGTGTTCTTAAACACCGTGCCAGCAGGGCTCCTAAAAGTCACATAATATGAATTTTTCAAAACAAGACATTTTTTTCTACTTTTTTTCTTTTGAGAAATTTGATTATACTTTATTTTAATGGACAAAGTAATACATTAAAAAATAAGCCTCCTTTTCACCTCAGATACCCAGTCTTCCTAAGATGAGTTTCTCTGTGTTTTTCCAAAACTGTCTATATGACTATAGGAATATATACTTTGAAAAAGTAGAAGCATATACTTTGCTGCACTTGATTGTGTGCTCAGGTCCCCCCTCCCCCTTTCTCACTCAGTGGTCTGTCTGGGAGACCTTTGATGGGAAGCTTTTAAAGAAGGATTTTACATGGAAGCGTGACATGGTCAGTTCTGTATTTTAGGTAGTTGTAACACTGATGAGGTTGGCAGTTCGAGCCCACCAGCTGCTCCATGGAAGAAAGATGTGGCAGTCTGTTTCTGTCAAGATTTACAGCCTTGGAAACCCTACGGGGCAGCTCTACTCTGTCCTGTAGGGTCGCTGTGAGTCAGAGTCGACTCGACGGCAGTAGTGTTGGTTTGGGTTTAACACTGGTGGCCATGCGGAAGATGGTTCTGAGCAGGAAGACTAGACGGAAGGAGTATATTAGAGACTATAATGAACATTAGGAATAGGAGGGCATCTCTTGTAACAGAACCATCCCATCAGCCTGAAAGTAATAGGAAGACCCCTGACGCTTCATACTCACTGGTTCGCATCAGGGGTGATGCTGCTCTCCAGGGTATTTGGAAACGTTGGTTGTTGTTACTGAGGGCTGTCAAGTTGGTTCCCACCTGTAGCGACCCTTTGTACAACAGAACAAAACACTGCCTGCTCCTGTACCGTCGTCACGATTGTTAGATCTCAGCCCAAGGTTGCAGCCACTGGGAATGTGTTGTAGTTGTCACAGTAACTGATGGGTTCTGGCGTTTGGTGGATGGGGGCCAGGGATGCTGAACTTCCTGCTTTGTTCAGAATGGTCGCCTACCCCAAATGCCAGCATGTCCTTACGGGAAACAGTCGTCATCATCACTGACGGGCCTGCTTAACATGCAGTTGCCTGGGCCCTGCCTCAGAACAACGGAATCGGAATCTGTAGGGTTGTGGCCTGAGAATCTACATTTTCATAAACACCCAGATATTTCTTAGGTCTGCTCAAAGTCGAGACTCATTCCTTTACCCTGTGAGCGCTGATTATTTGAGCAGCCCTTCGCAGCCACAAGAACTTCTGTTTCTATGTTCAGTCAGATACTCCAGCTTTCCCCAAACTCTCAGGCCAGTAGTAGGGTAGAGGGATGGAACGAAGAAGCTGTGTTGAGTTGTATCCTTACAGGTATAGAACAGGGGTCGACAAACTACGGCTGGCTCGTGGGCCAGATCCAGTCTGCCACCTCTTTTTGTAAATAAAGTTTAATTGGCACACAGCCACAGTCGTTTGTTCATACATTGTCTGCACCTGCTTTTGCACTGCAGCAGCAGCGGAGCTGTAACAGAGACTGTATTGCCTGCAAAGCCTCAGATATTTACTGTCAGGCCCCTTTGCAGAAAAACCTTGCTGACGCCAGTAGAGACCAATTGTTCCACATCTTGGGCTGCATAATGGAATCATCTCCAAAGCTTTAACAAGAATTACCTATGCCTGGATTCTGCCTTCACCCCATTTAACTGGTCTGGGATTCTGTCTGGGTATCTGAGTTTCAGAAGCTGTCCAGATGACGCTCATGCATGGCCGAGGTGGAGACCCACTGGTGGTATAGAGCAGGTGTCCTCACAGCAGTGCACACTGGTGATTTTGGTTCTTTGTGTATTTCATGGAAAATCCCAGGTCATGGAAAACCCTCTTAAACGGGAGTTTGTCTAGCAGTAATTAACAATAATTATATATGTATGACAACAGTATTGTGTTAATGTGAAGTTTCACAGTTTTAAAGTTGTAAGTATTTTGTATGATGTTTATTAGTATGTACTATGTTAAAATCTGAACTGCCAAATAGAATTTATTAAGAACAGAAACAGTAATTTTTCCACAAGTAAGACTATACCCAATAATTTTTGAAGATTTTTTTTGTTTTGTTAATTGATTTGCTTATTTTGGTTTAAGTTAGAAGTGAACCTTTTGATTCCTTCTTAGACTGAGTAAACTTTGCCTGCTGCTAGACTGTGTATATCCTTCTGCTTTTCATATTAAAGTAAGACAGTTAACCTTACACTATGAATAAATGTATATGCACACGCATGTACATTCACACGTTATGATATATGCAGCAGATATAATGAAAACAGATATATAAATTCATAACAGTGGTTTGGATCTTAAACATGGGAAAGTAAAATATAACATTGCATAGAAAAATATAAAACTATATGCAGGGTGACCCTAGTTTTGCATGTGTGTATTTTATGTGTATATGACAAACAGTTATATATAGAAAAGGGACTGAAAAGAAGTAAGATTGCGTGGTTTCATCTAGAAGAAAGAGTTATGAGTGATTTTTGTTTTTTATATTAAAAAATTAATATATGTATGCATATATGTGGTATTTATAGAACTCCCAACCAATAAATGTTCTTTAAAAAATAAAATGAAATAGATTCTACTCTATATTTTATATAATATGTATTAATATTTTAATAGTAGGTGCCTACTCCTCACTCACTGACTGTCTTGTTATCCGACATTTCACATTTATGACAATAGTAAAAAATTTACTATCCAACTATTTTGCACATTAACGACATACGTCTCTGGTGGTAACGAATGCTGACATACGAGGTGAGAGTAAAACTGGTTGTGATGGTAAAGGCTATGTGTCACCTTGCCTGGGCCATGATTTTCAGTGGTTTGGCAGTTATGTAATGATGTAATTTGGCAGTTCTGTAACGGTGTAGTCATCCTCCATTTTGTGATCTGATGTGGTCATCCTTCATTTTTGCATAACACCAATTTTCACATAATGACCTGGTCTTTGGAACCTAACCATCTTGATAAGTGAGGAGTGAGTGTATTCTATATTTCATAAAATACTTGAAGATATTTTATTTTTTTTAGTGGAAAAATCTGTTTATTTCTAGGCTCATTGGTGGGCAGTATTACTTATGGGAATTGCCTTGATCATGTTAATGGCTGGATTCATTAAGATATGCAGTGTTCATACTCCAAGCAGTAATCCAAAGTTGCCTCCTCCTAAACCACTTCCAGGTAAGACAGTTTGAACAAGGTAAATGTTTATATAACTCGAAACCATTTGGCAGGTGGAATTGAATTATAAATGAGTGTTTAGTAAGTAATTTTATAGTACTTTCTCCTTGGGAATGGGATTACTGGAAGAATGATTTAGTTTTTAAAGTGCTATTTATCAATCCAGTCTAGCTAATGACTGCCAATTAAATGTCACTCTATCCTGTCTAAAAAATATTTTGATTTGTATATATTTTAATGTTTATATCCTTGAAATATTTTCTGGCCTTTAAACTTGTTTTCCCCAAGGGGGATGTTTATAAGGAAATATCCTAGTCTGGGAGAGTCTTAGGGTGGAAGCTTCAGACAGCAAATAGCCACATCGTTATTCTCCACCCTTTACCCCTCGGGGAGACTCAGCACTGGGAGGAGAGCCTCTTTAGATTAGCTCCAGGGATTTGGAGGAGAAGAGAGTGAGAAGCAAGTGTTCCACATCACTTACCCCCGCTGTTCCCCCTCATTTCCCAAGGTCTTTGTGGCTTCCATGCTGCCCTGATTTTATGCCACAGGACGTGTGGACCAGAACTCTGTTCACTATGGGTGTGGGGGCAAACATTGTTCGGGCAGTGGCTGGGGAAACCCAGAACTAAATGCCTGCAGTTCCCTCTCCTGCCTCCCACAGCCTTCCAGGGAGGCCTCTTGCCTCAGGCCAAATCCACTACCCTATACAAAGTAATGAAAAACTAGGAGTTTTTTATAGTTGACATTTATAGATTCTTCCTTCACTTGTCCCACTTCATTTCCTGTCTTGGGGCAAAGGATCCTGGTAGTCGTGCTAGGACATTATCTTGGTGGCGATCAGAGGAAATTTGATTGTGATGTCATTGCTTTTCCTAGATTCACTACGTTATCACGCTGGAATTTATGCCAGTTTCTTAGGGATTTCCAAGGGCCGCGTGACACTTTCTAAACACTTATCAGTTATGATCTCATTCAGTGAAGCAGTGATTTTACTTGTGTGTTGATTTTATTTTAAGGAAATACCACTTTCAAAGACTTTGGAAAAACTAGCTGTCATTTATTAAACCCTCACAAAAAGGGCTAGACACTTTTTACACGAACTGTCATATAATCCTCACAACAGACTGGATGAGTTAGTTATCATCCCCGTTTTACAGATTAGGCATCTGAGGCCAGTGTGAGGTTAAGTCATCTGCCCAAAGACACTCAGAATCCATGATGTTAGTCTAGAGTAATCTGTCTAATACTTGTGGCTCTCGAGCACTTGAAATGTGGCTAGTCTCGATTGAGATGTGCTGTCAGTGTAAAATACATATCGGACTTTGAAAACTTAGTATAAAAAAAAAGTATGTCAAACATTTCATTAGTAATTCTTTATATTGATTATGTGTTACAGTGCTAATATTTTGGCTGTATTGGATTAAATAAAATGTATTATTAAAATTAATTTCACCTGTTTCTTTTCTAGCTTTTTTTTATTGTGGCTACACTAACTGTTTAGTATTACGTATGTCACTTATACTGTATTTCTAGTTCACAGCACTGATCTACAAGCTTTCTTATTTAACCTGCAGCTTTTTCTCTCTTTTTTTTTTTTTTTAAGATAGGAAAGCTCACAGTAAGTCTGTTTTGCTTTTGTGTGTGACTGACAGGCACTTTAAAGAGGAGGAGACCTCCACAGCCCATTCAGCAGCCCCCGCGTCAGCGGCCCCGGGAGAGCTACCAGATGGGACACATGCGACGTTGACTACAGCTTTGCCTTGGTTCTTCCTAGTGCCTACAGTGGGAACTTCACTCCAAAGAGAAACCTGTTACGTCAGCATCCCCAAACGACACCCTCACAAACAACAGTCGAAGAAAAATGGCAAGAGAGCATGTCCTCAGACCAGGTGGAATTACTTAAATTTTAAAGCCTGAAAATTCCAATTTGGGGGGGTGGGTGGGTGGTGGAAAAGGAGCCCAATTTTCTTATGGACAGATATTTTTAACCTTATGGCACAAAGTCTTAGAATGTTATTACGTGCCCCATGTTCCCTGTTCTTCGTTGCTGCATTTTTCTTCACTTGCAGGCAGACTTGGCTCTCGATAAACTTTTATCACAGATTGAAATATATATATATTTTTTTCAACTGCCAGTCACGGCTAGGAGGCTCGACCACCTCAACATTGGAGACATCACTTGCCAATGTACATACCTTGTTATATGCAGACATGTATTTCTTACGTACACTGTATTTCTGTGTGCAATTGTAAACAGAAATTGCAATATGGATGTTTCTTTGTATTATAAAATCTTTCCGCTCTTAATGAAAAATTACTGTTTAATTGACATACTCAGGATAACAGAGAATGGTGGTATTCAGTGGTCCAGGATTCTGTAATGCTTTACACGGCAGTTTGGAATGAGAATCCGTTTCCCTTTTTCTGACGATGGAGTTGGTTCTCTGTTTGTTTTCTTTTTATCAAATGGCTGCTAAGAAGAGCGCGTGAGTTACTGTGCTTAAGAACGCAGTCAGAGAAATGTGCAAACTGGACATACCCAGCGTACTACTTAAGAGTTAGTTCTTTATGTAGACGTCTGATTTCTGCTTACTTATTTTAAACTTTCTAATTCCATTTTTGAATTGATAGGTGAAATTTTGTTCATGCTTTGGTAGAAATTATGTCAGTGAAATGATTCTTTTTATCTGTAGCCTACTTATTTGTGTCTTTCATATATCTGAAGTGTGCTAATTATGTTTTTGTTTCTGTCTGACATGGAAAAGAAAACCTGTGTATTTTACCAAAATGAGCAGTTTTTTCAGCACATCATCATTAATCATTGGTAACCACTGAAGAAGAGTAATTTGCTCAACTAGTAGTTGAATTGTAGATAGGCCTTCTGACGTTTTTTTCCTAAAATATTTTAACAGTAATGAAGGTGAAACAGCACAACGTCCCATCCCAAATTTATTTTTTAAACAGATGTAAATAATTGGCATTTTAAAGAAAGAAAGCAAAAGCATTTAATGTATTAACAGGCTTATTGCTATGCAGGAAATGGAAGGGGGCATTAAAAAAATTAAGCTTGTGACATATTTATTGCTTCTGTTTTCCAACTACGTCACTTAAATTAGAGGTAAACAGCTATGATTTCCTGGTTCGCGTAGGAGGCAAATTTAGGGAAGGTTGAAAAGATTTCTGTGTTTGGGCTTTTTTTTTTTTTTTTCCTTTTTTTCTTAAGAGTATAAGGTTTACACAATCATTCTCATAATGTGACGCAAGCCAGCAAGGCCAAAAATGCTAGAGAAAATAATGGGATCTCTTCCTTGTAAACTTGTACAGTACGTGGTGACTTTTTTCAAAATACAGCTTTTTGTACATGATTTAGAGACAAATTTTGTACATGAAACCGCAGATAGACTATAAATAATTCTAAACAAACAAGTAGGTAGATATGTATGTAATTGCTTTTAAATCATTTAAATGCCTTGGTTTTTGGACTGTGCAAAGTTTGGAAGTGGGTTTGCATTTCTAAAATTGTGACTTTTATTCTGCAAGAGTTCTTAGTAACTTCTTGAGTGTGGTAGACTTTGGAACATGTAAATTTTTTGCTTGTAATGTTATCCTGTGGTAGGATTTTGGCAGGTACACACTGCCCTATTTTATTTTGAGTCTAAGTTAAATGTTTTCTGAAAAGAGATACGTGCACTGAACTCTTTCCACTGCAAATCAAGATGTGGTAAAAACAAGAGGATCAAGACAAATGGGATCTCATACTACTGTCAGTGTGGTGTCCACTGTGTTTTATACAGTACCTTTTGGTTCACTTTGGAAATTTTTACTAAAAATTGCAAAAAATAAAGTATGTGCAAAGATGTAAGGTTTTTTGAAACTTGAAATGCATTAATAAATAGACTTGATGAAATCAACTGGAAGGTTCCATACTCTTTGAACTATGAAAACTATCAAAAGAAGCTGCCTAGAAGGCATCTTTTCCTTACCAAGGGAATGAGGTCAGTCAACAGAAAGAGGACTGTCTGTTCCCGCAGTAGTGTAGCTGTCTTTATTCCTGGTTTGGAGTCCATGTAGAAAATGGATCATTAGATATCCTGTTAACACAAAACAACATTTAAAAACACTCAGGGAACCTCAACTGCTTTACGTTGTTTCTAATCAGCAGTCGGAGTGTTTGTCTTGGTGGAAGAACTGAGTCATTTTGGAAACTTGTGGTCTTATAGGTATTTTGCAAGGTTCTGAATGCTAAGTATCTCATTTATTTTAAAAGTATGGTTTTATGATAAACATATTTTAAAATTTTGAGCCAGCGTTTTCCTACTTTGTCAGATTCAGATTCATAGGGAATAAGGAGAGAATTCACATTTCAGCATTGTCTAGAAAAAGAATTGGGCAAAAGAGAGCAGAACATGTATGCCCGGATGGTGCCTGCACAGAACAATCTAACCCAAACTCTTTTTTTTAAAATCCAGGTCAGGTATAAATAAGTAATATTTGTTAAATGAGTAAATATGAAATAATTTTTAAAGTTACTTTGTTAATTTAGGACCATCAAAAGGTAATATTATGTTTATTCATGAAACCATCAATATTAATGTAGATAATTGCAAATTTATTTTTATTTATAATTGAATGCTTACATTTTCGTTGTTTAGAACATCCCTCTCCCCAGAGTTCTCTGAATTCAGGCAGCTCTGAAATCAGCCACAAAGTCAAGTCGGAGTTCTCAGAGTCTCCGGAGGCCGCGTCCAGTGGTTCATGCGGCTTTGGAAAGGCCTTATTTAAGGGAAAGACAGTCGAGCTGATCAGTCGTGTCTTGTGAGGAGCCTTAAGCACTTTGTGCTTTTGGCAATTCATGTTTGTCACATCCACAGACTGGCGAAAACTGAACATTTAGCCAAATTGAGCAAACTACTCTTAACTCCTTGTCTCTGTCCCTTTTGTCTGTATATTTTAAAACCTTATAATTCTTATTTCTCCAAAGATGGGGTAAGTGTCCATAGCACCTGTGAATTGGGTGCTTGTGTTTGACAAGGCTTTTTAACTTCTCTTTAAGTATTTCTAATAGAAGTATAAGAGGGTTGTTATGGGTTGAATTGTGTTCCTCCGAAACATACGTTGAAGTCCACACCCTTGGTACCTGTGGACATGCCCTTATTTGGAAATTGGATCTTTGAAGGTGTCAGCAGTTAACTTGAGGTCTTAATCCAGTTTGAGTAACATTCTTATAAAGAAAAGGGACAGACAGGAAAACGGTCCTGCGATGGAGTTAAGCTGCAGCTGCTCGCCCAGGAGCGCTTGGGGCTGCCAGAAACTACTGGAAACGTCTTCCCCAGAGCCCTTGAAGAGAACACAGCCCTGCGATAGCCTGAATTCGGGCTTGTAGCCGGCAGGATTGTGAGACAGTGTGTTTCTATTCTTGTAAGCCGCTGGTTGGTGGTGTTTTGTACAGAGGCCCAAGGACACTCTGCAGGAGCCGGTGTAGTAAATGTGCCACTCCAAAGCAGAGGTGACACCCACTTCAGGGGAAGGGGGTGGGGGGAAGCTCAGGGTCTCCCAACACTAGAGCAAACTGGATGTTTTAAAGCAGCTGCTGGTTCATCTTTACAGAAGTCAGCGAAGTTGTAAAAAATTGTAGTTTTCTGAAAAACATTTGTGACTTCTAAGAAAATTAAGATGATTAGTCTGCCCTACAGAGCTCAGCTTCACTTCTAACGTTTTGGACTCTGTGTTCTCGATTAACAACATTTTCCGTTTGAGTCACTTTTCCATGTATTACAAATTTAGTTTTCCCATTATTTTCTGTATCCAACCGTTTGTTATGAGAATGCAAATTGAGCCCTGTGTTCTATATTGCATTGCTATATTTGCATGCCTTACATATGTGCATATATGCTCTATTTTCAGTAGAAATTCGTGTATTTTATTACTGATCAACTCCTCTGACTGACTGTTCTCTCCTATTAAAAGCAACAGGATGCTAGGTAAAAATGGAGAGTTGAAGGAAATATTTATTAGCCTCTGTTCTTCCCTAAAACCCCAACTAAAATGACAGAGGATTGGAGAAACAAGAGCATGCTCCAACAAGGACAAGGCGACTTGAAGAGAAGATTACAAGAATAACATTTTGGAAGCTGGAAAGCAGGTGGAGGAGGAGTATCTGAGTTGGTGACCCAGGAAAGCCACCATCAGTGGAGATGCAGAGAAGCAGCCCAGTCTGCACTGTTAATACTTTGGGACATATCCTTCAAGACTTTTCTACGACTGTGGCTAAAGGCATGATATGCACACTTTTGTAACCCACCTTTCTTAATTAACAATACATTGATATTGTATCTTTATCATTTTAATGACTATAAATATTTTGTTCTCTGGATGTATTGTACATTTTTTACTTAACCAATTCTCAATTGTTTGGACATTTAGATTGTTTCCAGATTTTTCATTAAACAATCCTAAACCTAATAATAAATAACATAAATTCCTAAAAATGGAATTGCTGGGTTAAAGGCTTTTTAAAAAGGTGCAGTGGTTAAGAGCTCAGCTGCTAACCAGAAGGTCGGAGGTTTGAATCTACCAGCTACTCTTTGGAAACCCTATGGGGCAGTTCTGCTCTTTCCTACAAGGTAGCTATGAGTCTGAATCGACTCAACGGCAATGGGTTTGGGGGTTTTTTTGGCATAAAAATTATGAAATTGTATTCCAGATGTATCCAGTTATGCTCACGTTAGCATCTAAGAATTTTGTTTAATTTGAGAGTCCCATGCTTTAAAACGCACGTGTGTGCAGCCACGTAAGCTTACTGGAAGCAGTAGTAGAAGATTCCTAACTAGGAAACTTTGGACATAATTCAAATTAAAGTCAAATATAGTGCCTCAGTTGTCATCTCTAAAGACCATTTTCTTCAAAGGAACTAGCTGGCTGATTCCAGGTCTGGGCTAAGAAATGTCTAGGAAGAGCCTAGAAAGCACTCTTGTCATACCAAAGGCAAGGAAGCTACGAAAGATCACTGGAGGCCCTGTCAAAAAATTCAGGAGGCACCTTGAAGAGATTCCCACTGGCCAAATTTGGGATAATTTTAGCATCAGTAAGGAGAAACCCTGTGAGGCAGTTGTACCCTGTCCTATAGGGTCGCTGTGAGTCAGAATTGATTCGACGGCAGTGCTTTTTTTTTTTTTTTTTTTTTTAAGGATAATATCTGCCAGAGATTGAAACTCATCATGTTATGCTTAACTGTATGAGTTAATAATGGCAGTTAAAAAAAAAAATCAGTTACCTTTGGAATATCCTTTTAAAGAAATATTCCAGCTAATGAATGAAAAAGGAGTGATAGAATTAGGATATCACCATTTTATCCCCTTAATGACTTAATCTAGACAATGATCACCAGTCCGCAGTCAGACGTTTTGTGAGTCCCTGTGTGGCACAGATGGTTAAGTGCTCGACTGCTAGCTGTTTGAACCCACCCAGAGGCTCCTCAGAAGACAGGCCTGGTGATCTGCTTCCCAAAGGTCACGGCCTTGAAGACCCTATGGAGCAGTTCTGGCCTGCACACATGGGGTTGCTATGAGTTAGAATTGACTGGACAGCAGCTAACAATAGCAGCAATGGGAGTACCTGTGCCACCTCGGAAGCAGTCCCGCTGGAAGTGAAATCTGATCCTGACCAAGCCTCCACTTTCCTAGAAATACAGGGGACAGAGGAACATGTTAGATGATGCCACAGGGATTTGATCAGACTCTGGAAAACTACAGGAGAAATGAGCCCGTTTCTTCAACAACTGAATTGCAGGGAAGAAAAAAAAAAGGTGGATTAAAAGAGACTTGTGAGACATATCTACCAATTATAATTTAGGGACTTATTTGGATCCTGATTTGAACAAACTTAAAGAAAAAAGACCATTGGGGAAATAAGACTGGATATTTGCTGATATTAAGGATTTTTATGATTAGTTTTAGGTGTGATAATGGTATTGTGGTTACATTTTAAAAAGTCATTCTTTTTTAGAGATTCAAATTGAAGTACTTAAAAATACAACGGTCTAGTGTGTAGGAGTGATGGTGAGTGGGGCGTAGTTGAAACAAGATTGGCTGTGTGTTGATAATTGTTGAAGCTGGATGATGAGTGCTTGGGGATTCATACTGTCCACCTGTGTTTGCACTGACGTCTTCCATGAAAGTATTTTAAATGTGAATCAAATTCATATAGAAGCTTATTCATTACTGTTGAATTTAGCAGTAATTCATGATAATGCCCTACTTAATGATTATTTATAATAATTTTTTTTTTTTAGTGGAATCTAACTTGAACCAGTCAAGCTAACATAATTAATTATATTCTGCTCCAGTTACAATGAATGATTAATTGAATTTGACTTGCAGGGTGAGTGCTTGAAGCTATCAGTCACTCAGCAACCTTAGCAAGCCCTCCTTGCTCGCTAGTTCTTGTGGGCTTGCTAACTATTTCAGGAAACTGTTTATTTTCTCCTAACCGTCTCGGGGAGAGTGGTCCGTCAGGTTATCCATATTGAACCTTTGTGTCCCATATTGGAATGAATGTTAAGTACCTCAGTACAGTAAATTAGATTCTTCTGCTCTTGTTAAAATGATAATGATTCCCTGGAAGTGGAAATGGATCCGAAAAAGATATTCTGGAATTGTTTGTTCTCAGTGTAAAGAAATTAGAACAATTTGATAGTGTAGATTGTCTTATATAAAAAGTTTCCGTTGGATGAGTTCTAGAAATCATTTTGGAAAAGTGAAGGCCTTTTGCTAATGTTGAACAAATAAAGCAGTTTTATTCTTCATTCTAAATGTGTATTTCAGTATCCTGTTCTCCCTCCCTGCCTTCGGCGTGGGAGTTGGCCTTTGTATTTCTAAACGCGAGAGGCGGGCTTTTCTAATGTAAGATATCAGTGTTGTGATTAACTTTTTGTTATTTTGTGTTGTGTTTGTGGTTAGTTTTCCTTTTTTCATAAATATGTATTTAGTGTCTCTGATTAAGTGAATCTGCTTGCTAACCATTTCTCCCCCTTCTCACTTGAAACCCTATCAGAGGGTATTTGGAATGCTTTGGCTTCAGAGGGTATGCATGTGCCGATATGTATGGGTCGGCTACCTCACTCCTTCACTGGACAGATTTCTTAAGCACTTGGTTGTGCTAGGCCCTCTCCTAGGTAATAGGAATACAGCAACGAACTTAGCAGTGTCCCTGCCCTTGTAGAGCTTACTGTCTGGTAGGTAAGACAGACTTTAATCAAGTAATCTGTGAATGAATGTGCAGTTCCAGCAGTGATAAGGGCTATGAGGGAGAGGTCTTGGGTGACTCAAGAACTGGGAATGCAGGGGTGGGACTGAGGGAGGAGGGGGGGACCTAGTCAGGAAGCTCAGGAAACGCTTTCCTGAGAAAACGATGCGTGAGCCAAAATGTGAAGGACAAAAAGAGTTAAATAATTTAAATAGGGCTTACAATAATGTGGAGTGGTTATATGCTGGGCCCTATAGCAAATTTTTCCTTTGGGGAAAGGTAATATTTTTTGCTCTTAATTTTATTATATGTAAACCTAGCCATTCAGATTCCTTTATGTTTTAAAACTGTTTTTCGTTTTTTGCTTAGCAGTGTATTCATTGGCTGAAGGGTTGGCTCCTTGGCTTAGGCTGGGTTCTCTAGAGAAGCAAAAACCAGTGAAGCTTTTATATATAAATATACAGAGAGGTTTGTCTCAAGGAAATGGCTCATGTGGTTGTGGAGACTGGCAAGTCCCAAATCCGTTGGTCAGGCGTTAGGCTGGAGGCTTCTCCTGGCTCCCATGGTTGCAGGGGCTGATGAACCCACAGTTGACGGATCAGACAGTAGGCTCTTGGCTCATGGAGCTACAGAAGCTGGAGAATCCCCAAATTGGCAGGTTGGATGGCAGGCAGCTGGCTCACAGGGCTGCAGAAGCTGGCAAATCCCAGAACTGGTGGGTCAAGTGACAGGCTCAAGTCCCAAGAACCAGAGGTCAGATGATGACAAGCTGGATGCAGCATCCAGAGCAAGGGAGAGCCTTACCAGAGCATCCATACATGCATGGGGTGCAGGTCACACCCCCAAGGAAAACTCCCCCTACCCGAGAGTAAGGGTGTGACTTGAGTAAGGGCGTGACTTGAGTCACACCCTCTTGTAAGGGTATGATTCAAGATGCACTCACACTAATTCTACCTCATTAACATAGAGGTTAGGATTTACAACACAGAAAATGGAGAGCAACCGCACAATAGCGGGAATCATGGCCTCGCCCAGCTGACACAGACATCAACCATCACACTTGTACTTTGGCAAACATCATATCTGCTTATTGTTCTTAGGGATGTTGGCACAGCGGTTTGGGAGTTGTGAAAGGCCCGTGGCTTCTCAGGCCTTGCCCGCTGGATCATGACTACCACGAAGGGGATCAGGGCATCTACCCGGCTGAGTTAGGTGTCCCTTTGATCTCTCCTTGACACTGACTTCCTTTCGTCATAGCACATAACCACACTGTGGTGTATTTCTGCCTCAGCTGGGAAGAATGGTCTTCCCTGAGGGCCTCCTTCACCGCCCAGTCTTACCAACCTACTGCAATTCCTCACAGCTCCCCAGGGACTGTGGTCCGTGCTCTCAGGGAGCTAACAGTCTAGTGGGAAGAAATAAACCAACCAATGTAGAGGGGTTCATGCTGTAAGCTATACAAATGTGGGGTGCCCTGGAAGCTCAGAGGTGATGGGAAGAGACCAAGACGACTTCCAGAGGAGATAGGCGTGAGCTGAGCTTTAGGGTTTCTTTCTGTAAAGGTTTGCTCTAACTAATCCCAACTTCCTGTCACAGCTTTAGGAATGATGTCATTGAGGGTAGCTCCCTGACTCTCATTCTCTCATGCCTCTGGGTGTGCTTTCCCTCTTCCATCTTCTAGGGGCTGCACTTTGTTATTAATCTCCATTTCCTTGAACTTGGCTATAGTAGGTGTTCAATAAACATTTCTGTTTTAATAAAGTGTGTGTGCTTTGTAAATAGGCAATGGAGCTGATTTCACAAGACAGGCACAACAGTTAGTCCAGCATGTTACTGACACTGTAATTCTAACTTCTAAAAATCTCTGATCCTAAATCCCCTGCCAGCACAACCTCCTTCCTTCACCCCCAAGAGAAATTTCCTTTTGAAGTCTAATCTGCACTTGTATTTATAGAATATAAAAAGCACTCGCCACGTTTTGCACAAATGGGAAGAGCACAGCTTAGCTTCGGGACGTGTAGGTAACATGGCGTAACTCCTGGCAGGAGAAGAAATGTATTCAGAAAGCTCAGATTAGAAATTAAATGGAGACGCTCTAGTTTCTCTGTCTTCATGAAAGTGTTTTATTCGGCTAGATCATCTATATATTTTTTATTTGACTATTCCTTAATGAGGTGGAAGTTAGACATTTTGAAGATGGTGTTTTCCTGCAGCAAACCTCACGATCAACGTTTCTCATTTTCCCCTCCACAGAACTCTAGTTCCATAGCTTTTT